ACACATACGTTAGTATTCGACTAATTGAAAGAGCCACTTTGGCGGTTAGGTGTTTACCTTTTGACTTAAATTCCGAAAAAGCACGTTCCACCGAATTTTCGTTTGTTCCATTTTTTTCGTCGTCGTCGTCTTCTTCTTCTTTCCCATCGAACAGATAAATGAAATGAGTATATCTTTCAATTTCAGAACACCACACTGAGAGAGGGCGAGAAGTAAAGAAAAGAAAAGAATGTATGGAGGACATGAGAAAAGGAAGAGTAAAAAATCACTGGTCGAAGGGTTTGTTTGTATCACTGTGTGCATGTTGACACGCCGATGACAGTCGCTGAAGGTATGCCAATTTCAAGATGCTTTACTTCAGTGTTTTGTAAGAGAAATTCTTGACTTGATTTTTCAAAAACGGATCCAAACATGATGCGATGCGATGCACGATACAAAATATGGGCATGATAAGAGAATACATGTAGTAATGGAGAAAGATACAAAATAAAAATGGGACGAAAAAGACGCGCAAAACGTTGATAAGCGTCAGCCAATTTGGTGTCAAGTGTAAGACGGAGAGAGAGAAAAATACCGAGCATTATCTTGAAAATTATAATCATCGGATAATCTGGTGGAAAAGCGATTTTCCAATATCGAAACAAAAACTTGCTATCGATCGACGACGAGAAACAACAACAACAATAACAAATTTATGTGCAAATTTATCTAAACAATTGGAGTTTAAAATAAAATCGAATCGTTCAATCGCTTATTCTTTTTACAGCCTTTTCGATTGCTATTAAATCAGCAATTTGGTTGATTTCATTTCTTTTTTTTTATTTATTGAACATTTTAACGCTAACCTGACATTTTTGGATAGGACTTCTACGAAAAAAAATTTATATGACAAAATGTTTAAAATTAAAAAGAATAATACGATTGAAAATGGTTATCAGTAATGTGACTTTTCTTTATGTTGAATGAATGAAACGACTTCCTTGTGGCGAGCAAATCCCAGTGATTTATGAGTCCCAAAATGAGCTCAAACAAGCTTTCTGCAATGGAACAAAACGAAAAAAAAGGAAATTAGTATTTTTGTTGAAAAAAATCCATAAAAAACACGCCAACAAAAGAATGTCCACAAAAAGCGAACATACATCAGATATCATATGAGCTGATATGTCACCGGAACTCTTCTCCCATTTTTCATCGTGACCAGTCGAACCGCATAAGATTTTCTTTTAGTTTGTCTGCAAGAAGAAAAACAAACAAAAAACAATCAACACTTTCTCTCGAAACAAGCGACGAATTCTTTCGATAGCAATTAATTTGAATTTTGAAAAAAATGGTCTCAAATCATTTTTACCTCTGACAGTTTCAATGTCATCGTCGCAATTATCCTTTTTTTCAAAATTCACAATGAAGTACACCACGTGTCACTTAAAAATAAAATAATCTTGGATAAAATTGAAAACTCAAAAAATATAGAGAATCAACATACCCACAACATTTGAACGCTGAGAAACGAGCATCAACATAATTACCGCAGTGCGGGCATTCATCTTTGTACAGGGCGTTCACCTGCTGCAGTTGCAAAACATCTCGCTGTAGCTGGGTAATCGCGCCTTGCTGTTGGGTAATCGTGGCTTGCTGTTGGGTAATCGTGGCTTGCTGTTGGGTAATCGTGGCTTGCTGTTGGGTAATAACTGTATTCATCGAATTTATTTCACGTTTTATGAAATCGAGGCTGTTCTTTGTATCAGTTTGATTGTTCTCAATAGCATTTATCGCTCGATCGAGTGGAGTTGCCATCTTTTTTCGAAATCTGTGAAAAAAAGCATGTGAGAATCGATTATTCCCTTTGTCCGCAAGATATATACATAGAAAAATAGAAATTAAAAGTAACTAAAGCACTAAACAGTAAACACATTTTGATGCCAGACGATGAATTCTGTGAAATACCGTGTGTATACAATCTGAGCATTTGAACGTCGAAGAAATGCGATGCTGGTTGAAATGTGAGCGCGCGTGGTGTGACGTTGTTTTGCCACAGACATGCTTTGAATTTCCAGAGCCACACACATATACACATACAAATGCAGTCGTGTGTCGCGCCTCTAACCACCTCACTGCAGGCAAACGGTTGTGTGCTGTGATGTTGTAGGAGGTCTCCACGTATATATATATATATATATATATATATATATGTAAATACACGATCAAGAAGAAGGGGAAAAAACCACACCGAATATATCGTAACGTCTTGCAATGGTGTGGCGTGCGATCGTATGCGTGTGCGACTTTACTCTGCCAAGCATGAATTATTCTGATGGTTTTAAGCCGAACCTAATGCGACATCACAACAG